TAAAAGTTTGACTTCTTTCATTGTCCATAAGTAGGACTGTAGTTAATCATTCTCATTTGAGATATATGTACCTTGAATGGATAGTTTTCTATTGCTTTTTAGTGACAAGGTTTTTGGTCAGTTTGTACTGTGGTTGGTAATTGAATCCATGACACATGGTTAGTGTTATTTGAGACTTTTTAACTGAAGATACTTGTTACATTTGCAGTGTTGATGTTGACACTGAAATTGCAACCGGTCACTTATTGCTTGAAACGTTGAAACATTATTCATTCAGCTACTAATGTCTAGTCAATCATTAACTTGTTTTTTTTAAATAATGAATTGATATGACCAAATATTTAAAACCTGGGAACACTTGAAAACTGTTTCTCTGTGGTGTAAGGCTCCTCAGGAGTGTGCATCCTCAACCCTATTACCTATGGGTTTCAACCGTGTCGGGTGTGAAGAAGTCACTCCCTGAAGACAATAAAAGATGGTTGTACAATATCATGGGTTCCTTGAAATTATATCTGTACACCTTTGGATCCTAGCTTGGTTTTCGATAAGTTAAACTTTCGTTCGTGAAATCAAAGATTCTAGATTCGATGGCTGATGGGAAGTTGCAGATAAACATTGCTAAGAAATCCCATGCCAGAACGAAGCAGCTGACCAGTGTTTTGAAGTTCTCAATGGTTATTTAACTTAGATTAGTTCGCAGTCTCACTAAAATTCAGCAATCTCTTCAACTCCCGTAATGATTTAAATAATATGCAAGTATTTGTAGGGGCTTAAATTAACTGTTTTTTAACTCTGAACATCAACAACAACAAAAAATGATTTCAATCTGTGAAATTTCTAAAATCTCCACAAACCCCTTCTGATAATAATCATCTGCTCACTAGTGACTGACTTCATGAGATACTCCTGGAGTTCTAGTGGGAAGCCGTTACCAGTGGAGTTCAACCAGGTCTGTTGTGAGATAGTAACTCACTGAAGACAGTGGTATACGGTGGCGCAACTTCGTGGATTGGTTGAAGTTAGACATTAACACCGTTGGATATCAACCGGCTCGGTGGTCTAATGGTCAAGTGCTCGCGCGCGGAACCAGTAGGTCCGGGGTTCGAGTCCCGTGGGGTGCGGGATAGTGGATGCGCACTGCTGAGGAGTCCCGTACTAGGACGAGACGGCCGTCCAGTGCTTCCAGGTTTCCCATGGTGGTCTAGCTTCAACTGACTCATGATTTCAATCTGTGAAAAAAATATGAGTCTAGAACAAATCAACAATTGTCTCAACTCAATTCCTTGGTGAACTAAGTGTTGGCGTTTGAAATGACAAGTACCAAGTTCCAGTCCTAATGTTTGTTTTCAATTAATGATATAATGACATATAGTCCAGTATTGTCCATTAACTGAATACTATAAATCAGTATGTAATGATCATTTAATTTTTGTCATCCTTCAACATTCATTATTAATTGAAACTTACAACTTAAATATTTTTTCATGTTCTATAGTTTTAACAAATATACAATAATAACTCCAGTAATAAAGAGTTATTATCTAAGATAAATAGAGTTAATTCATTAGCACAACAAGATCGACACCGGATTCATAGAAGTATTTAACTCAATGATTGTAATATTTAAAAGAAACAATGCATATGAGCATATAGTACAGGAAGAAAGAATTAATTGGTAGAAAGAAAGATATGAAGTGATTTTAATCTCACGGTTTAGGGGAAAACAAAGGGTGTATACACCAACATCAATGTGATTGATTCTGAGTCATGTCACACACAGTCTCTAACCACCGGTTACGATAGTCACGCGGACCCCAACCAAGTAGTCTGCATCTACCAACATGACTCAAACCAGAAGTTAGTCGCTTCAAGGACTGATGCCACGTTTTGGTTTGGCCGCCCCTAACTTTCTTCTAACCGTCTCTAACACTAGTCAGCATTGTGGGTCGTGATAATCGGTGTTCAGGCATACATAACACGTGGCCCAACCATCTCAGTCGATGAAGATTCACAACCTCATCAACTGATTTACCATCATTCCCTAATACCCTGTGTCTAACCTCACTAGTACTTACTCTGTTATCCCAGCAGATACGAGCAATATACCTGAAGTATTTGTGATCAAATACTAGTAGCTTATGAGTACGTTTCGTAGCCGCAAATTAGAACAGAACGAACTGCCGCGCAGTATAATCGTACCAGCATTCAGAGATGGAATCCCTGACAACTGTAGGTTGAGAAGATCAAATTGAAGAGAACAAGAATGTAAACAGAGAGTAATTGTAATGACAACAAGAATGAAGTAACGATGAAGTTTGGAAGAAACAGTTTCAGGAAGATGTGCTCTGTAATTGTGTATTAAATAATAAATTGTTTATCCCCACTTGAGAGTTCGCTCACTATATATATATATATATATATATATATATATATATATATATATATATATATTATTTACGAACTTAGTTAATAAACTAAATGACAGTGGTTTGCCTTTTTATCTTAAGTTCTTGCTTATTGGTAGCACTGTACCTTATACATAACACACGGGAACGAGTACAAGATTTAATGTTCATGAAGTGAATTAAATGTCATTATATTATTAAACCAGAATTCCATTGTGTGAATTTTGAACTTCAGTTAGTTTATTTGGCATAGTATGAATTTAAGAATTCTAGTTGGAAGCTATAACAGATGAAGTTAATTGAATCCATAAAAAAATGATGATTTACTAATGATACAGGGAAGAATACCTTATTTGATCTAAATTTCGATCAAGTTGGTACTCAACAGGAATATGTACCTGGAATTTTGAACTAACTGATCTTACCTACGGCTTCAAATACTCGAATCAAGCTTTTTAGTCTAAGACGTTAATATTCAGCTATTAAGGCAGTGATTTTCTTATTATATGACCAAGATATTTGAAACTAATTGATTACTGAGTAGTGCCCAATGATATACTTATCTAATCAATCACTACCCGAATAGATCAATGTTAACGTTTTAGACTGAAGCTTGATGATGTGGGTTAGAATCCTATAGTGAACATCAGTTCCCATAAGATTAGAAATAACCTCGCTGACGAATAGCGACTAGTATGATACCTCAATACAATGTATCATGCTGACTACCTCATATCACCTTACATTAAAGTGGCGGACGAGATGTCAATCCATACATATATAAAACATGTATATGCATGATACTGATTTGTTTGAAGCCCTCGATAATTCTTCTGAAAGGTCTTCAGAAGCAAGGATAACTGGGATTATACTTCGACTAATTAAGGTCCTTTGAAAATTATAGAAAACGGGAAATTGTATTTTTATTATCCAGATTGAACAATAGCCTGTCTTGTTACCGCGTCCAGAATTTCAAGGTCACATAGAATTTTGTAAGTACCCTCGTTTCCTGTACACGAACTAACTATTGATGAATGCTTCTCAAATGCCTTCTGTCTTATGTTCTGTTCAGTATTGTGAGATTATCGGACTAATAATTTGTACATAAAACTGCAATTCTTTTGTACACCCTTATTTGCTCAATAAATCTCAGTCAGATAGAATATAAAAGACAGTACTCTGATCAACGATTATGTCTCGACAAAATACAAGGCTCGAGTAGTAAGATTACAGAGACAAAAATGATATCGATGGGACTTCATTTCTGATTTTCGTAATAAATACAAATTAATTACTGTCATTGTGCTTGTTCATGTTAGAAACAGTTTCCACGTTCTAGCGAAATAAATTCAACTATGCCGAGAATGAGACTGATATCATCAATCACAACAAATGATGGTTGGATAACATCGTAAATCAACTGAAGTTAGAAATGTTAATGTCAGTGGTTCGAAGTTTAGTTGACTACAGTGAAATTTAAAGGTGGTGAGTTCGATTCCTGATACAGTCGTAGGTAATCAGAACTATTGAGTTGCATACTAGGAACAACTTAGTTGCCCAATAGTTCTTCAGCTCAAAATGATTATCTATCTAAAATCACTTTGAGGTATAAAGTAAAAGTTGTGAGCGTTGTATATCATAGGAAATGGTTTTTTTTTAACTGTCCCCAACTAGATTTCAATTTCTTATATAATAAATGTATATCTGAAAGAAAATTAGTATGCCTAATATAAGCAATTATAAATAACTTTGTAACTAATACTAAACAACGCTGTTGAATACTGATTTCTCTAGAATGAATAAAGATAATCAAATTGAATTGTAGAAAAACTACCAAAAACTACTATTTTATTTGTATTTTCTATCAAATATTAATAGTGTTATTAGTAGTAATAGTATTACTAACTGTTAAACAATTTATTCCAATAATATGAAGAAAACAGGGTCTTTTTGGGGGGGAGGGGGTTGTGAATAGGGAGGAAAAGTTAATTAGGGGTAGAAAGTATACAATTGTACATGCATTTTAATAATCATAAAAGAAGTATCATGTTTTTTGCCCACTTGAGGGGGGGAGGGTAAGCAGTAGTTCGAGAAAGTCTATTAATAGTAATACTAATCAATAATGTAACAATAAAAGTCTGTTTAATACTAATACTTGTATTCATTATAATAATTTTAACTTTTATAATGTAGATACTACTTAAATAGAATATGCTTGATATTGATACTTATGAAAATTGTAAAAGTGTGCAAAACAAAAAAGAAATTGTGTGCGTTTCCCTTTCATTCTACTCTCTTATAATGAATTATTGTTAAAAATCATCACAAATATATCATGAATACATATTGTCATAATAGATAGATAGTAAATGGATTACCTATCGTTTGAAGTAAAAGAAAGTGAGATGCATGGGTGTATGTGCGAGTGTGCGAGTGTGCGAGTGATGATTTTTGTATGTACAAATATAAAAGGAAGTAAGTGAGAGAGAGAAAAGAAAACACATGAAATTTCTAATTATTTTCAATCTGTCTTATACTACTAATAATAATAACACATTATAAACTCAAATAATCCATTGATTCATTTACAATAAACAGATTTGTTTTGTTTTGTAAAATTGAAATTTTACTTTGACAAGTGAAATGAAGAGTAATACACAATGTTGTTATTAAAAAAACTTCTATATTCAAGTTTATATTGTATTCAATTATGCAATTTTGTTGAATCGAGCTAATATTGATGTTGTACTTTTGATTAATGGTGTTGATGAAGGTGTTGTTGATAATAATGATGATGCAATTGATATAGTTGTATTAGTTACTGTTGTCGATAAAGGTGTTGTTAAACGAGGTGATGGTGATGATGATGATGATGATGACTCCGATGATGACCAGTGCTCTTTGTTGTAATTATCTGTTAGTCTACAGTTGAAATCATCTACCTGTTGATATGATGGATGAGTTGATTTTATTTCAAGTCGTTGACTATGACTTTGATGGTTGGGGTGGTGGGGATGACGATGATGATGACGGTGATGATGGGTTTTTCGATTAAATGTTCCAATGTCTGCTGAAGATGAACATGAAGAAGCAGAAGAAGGAGATGATGAAGATAAACACGAGGATGAAGATAATGATTTTGAATGATGTGAACTATTTACAACAGATTCATATTGTTCATTTCTATCAGGAGAATGGAGTAGATCATTTCTAATTGTTGAAGATAATTTTGTGAGTAATTTCGATGAATTATCATCTAATGTTGATAAATTTTCAATTTCTGGTTCAGTTTCTAATGTTGGAGAAAAACAATTTGAATTAATTATTTTAATATTTTGCGTTTCCTCATCGTCTACTTCTAGTTCATCTCCTTCATTTACATCGATTTGTCCTCCTTCTCCTCTACTATCATCATCTTCATCTCCAGTTGTTGGTGAAGAAATTTTATTCCGAGTCGAATTGTGTCCACACTGTTCTTCTTCAAACTGTTCATGTGAAAATTGAAAATTACCACGATTACTATTATTATTATTATTATTATTATTACTATTGTTATTATCAATATTACTATTATTATACTCTTCACGAATCGTTGAGACATTCTCCTTAAACGTTTGTTGAAATAAACTAGAATTTAAATTTTGCAGAATACTAGGTAATGGAATTGATGCATTCAATAATGAATGACAAGTTAAGCTTTGCTCATCCACCGATGATGCTAAGGTTGTTGCCGTTGTTGTTGTTGTTATGGTAGCTGCTGCTGCTGCTGATGATGATGATGATGATGGTGTTGGTGGAAATAGAAAGGGGAAAAAATTAAATAAATTCTGTGAAATTAAATTGTTATTGGATATTGAACGACTAAGATTATTGAAATAATAATTGTTGCTATGACTATTATTATTATGATGATGATCATTAGTAATAGTGTTATTTTGTGATTGTATCTGATAAATATCTCGATAATTTGATAAATTTGACAAGATTTGATTACAATGATCTGTAAATAATCTATCAGAATCTTTTATTTCATTAGGAATCAATGAATTCGATGTTTGTAATTTGTGTATATTAGATGAATTTATACCAGATATTGAAATTGGCTCTTTAGAAGGTTTCAAACCAAGTGAACGTGGTATGCGTGATAATAATTGTGATCCAGCTGCATTTGTTTTAAACCAACTATTACAAATTCCATTTTGATTATTTTGATCCCAATTAATATCTGGACATAGATAGAATGGCTCAGAAACACCACGAGCTTCTAATGGTCGTAAATTAGCATATATTTCAAATAATTCAACACAATTGAATGGAAGAGGTTGACGTTTAGCACTACCAGTACAACTAAGTGGTTGTGTTTTTGCTAATGGATCATGATTTGCAGCACCACCACGTGTTCCACCATAACCACGACAATAACGTACTTCAGCAGATTCAAATAATGGAGTGAATTTAATTGCTTTAATTCCATTATCATCAGTGATCAGTTGGAATTGACCCCAAACTAAATTTCGGTGTCTTTGTGTACCGCCAATATTGAATTGAGTTCTGTTCATAAGCCACAAACTATTCAGTATTGCCTAAAAAGCAAAAAACAAAAAAAAATTTTCAAGGCTGATTTGGGAATTTTTTTATAAGAAAAATCTCACGTTCTTCCGTTGTTGATATTAAAGAACACAGCCCATGAGTCTGTACTGAGAAATGTGCGTTCACGATACTACCCCTAAGTACACATTTTGGAAAATTTGGGATAAAACTAGAAGTAGGATTTAGGAAGTAATTTTCGTCTTATTAGTGACATCAGGATCCCGGTGCTGATTTTCATATTGATACTGGAACCCAGCAGGACATTTTAAACTCCTTACTAATACTTTTCACACTCATTGAACAAGTTAAGGATTATCTGGGGGCCTAGCAGCTCAATGGATAATGTGTAAAATTTCAAAGCTAAAAGTGTTGGGTTCGTATCTCCATATGATTATCAAAGTGGGTGAAGCAAGTGTATTCAGTTGATGATAGTCAAATAGGGTAGAGCTCAATCCTTCAGATCAACTTTAATTAAATAAGTTCAAGTAGAGTATACAGTAATTCAAATAGATGAATTAATGACAAAAGACTGGAACGTCAGAAATCAGCTGATTCCCTGGCTGACTAAATTAACTTGTATAGGTTAATTTCTTCGTGCAAACATATTTGTTAGATTTATATTGTTATCATATATTCTCCAGATATAGAATTTCTATATACCTACATATACATGATTATTGGAATAATTCTAAACCCAAACTTTTGTATGAATGTTATTGGAATATCTAAGTATTATTATTAGTAGGCAGCTGATTAGAATAATCTATAATGAACAGCCAATGTACAACGTGATTATATGTTTCTACATTGAAAGTAATGAACTACCACTGTCAATATAGAATTAAATTTTAAATGAATACCTCTGTATATACTAAATATGTTTTGACTATTGAAGCTATAACTTAATACAACTATTAACTACAACCACCCATAAACTTGCTAATACTTCTTATGAAGTGGGAAAAATCTCTCATTAGATCATCGAATAGCGAGTAACCTACACATACACACGAGTTCATATACAATTGAACTCAAAGTGTTTAGATCTTTAGTTGAACATGTTACCTCTAGATATTCTTCATTTTCTTTCATTGGTTTAAAAAACCATAACAATATCGTAGAAACTATATTTTAATATTAGGTTAAGTTAATTAGACTCATTAGCCAAGTGGATAAGGCGTTGGGAGTTTGAAGTGAAAGATATAGAGTTCCACTTTCGTCGTAAGCATTAACACTAAGATGCAGGCACATTCAGCTAACAAGTCCACTGCTAACCGCCATCTAACTCTGCTTAAACTGCTTATAACTTATTAGCAATATCAAGGCAATCCATACAGGATGAATATAATCCAAAAGTGACTGGTCAATTACAGTTCATAAAATCAACGTGAAGATTCAAACAACCAAAACAAATATTTTAGTTAGTACAGCACCTTGAATCTCGAGTTTCCCTTCAATTCTTATTGTTGTCCGAATTAGTTATTTCCAAATTGGAAATATATATATATATATATTCCTTGTTGACCAGCCTCAATTAACGTGGCACATACTGTAAAGTCCTCAAATCATTTGAATTCAATAATCTAACATGTACCAATCAAATTTGATACAGTTAACTAGTAAAATGTTTATAATCTTATTCATCACTTATAAATACCATCTCTACCTCTTGAAAGAGAACAGAAACAAAAATATACCACCTTAGAGATAAAACACACGGATATATACAACTTTATTTTAGGTCATTGACTTATTTAACTAATTGGTTATGAAACAAATCAGTTCTGTATTAATTTCATACGGAAAAAAAGGAAACAAAATAAAAGTTTCATATTACATTACACTTTCTATACGGATGAATATCAAATTTTCCAGTTTAATTATCAGACAGATTGTAGTAACAACCGTAAACTGTATTACCATATAAATATATTGAATAGATATGTATAGACATGTCATGCTGTGTTAATTCAGTTTTCAGATCTAACGTAAATGACATTGGTTACTTTCTTTGGATTATGTTAACTATCTAAGAAAAAATAATTTTTTTTTAATAGTTGAGGTCATGAGTCAATTGAAGCTAGATCACCATAGAAAACCTAGAAGCACTGGATGGCCGTTTCTTTCTATTGTGGGACTCCTCAGTAGTGCGCATCCACGACCCCGCCTCGTGGGATTCGAACCCAAGGCAGCAATGTTTTTTATTACTAAGATAAATTCATATGGATTGTTCAGTTCTATAAGAATTTTCTCAACACAAATGAAGTCTCTCAATATTGCGACTTAACTGAATATTGGAAATGTGAATAAATTGTTCCTAACTCAATAATCTGACAGTAATTTATTCTTAGTGAAATGATAACTCACTGGTTAGGTAGTTCAAATTTCAGCCTCTAAATGGCAGGTTTGAACCTTACTCTATATAATTTGATTTAAATAACCAAGTATTGTAACCAGTCCTCATACTTATTGAGCGTGACTTTAAATCTAGTACACCAATCTCAAATTAGCGAAGGAATTAGTAACCCGTAATAAATAATTTGTAAAGTCTGAAATTCTTAGGTTTGATCTCTGATAGGACCAAGTACTATACACTTCTGAGTAATTCCATGCTAGAAACAAGACAATACTAGTTCAATACTTCCATCAAGTTAGAATCACTCCTTATTATAAAACTACATTTATACAATTTTTTTCTTAAGCAGTCTTGGTTATAAGTGAATCTCAGTTGGGATATCAATAGAAAACAGTAAACACTGGATAGTTATTTCCTCTTAGCGTAGGACCCTTCAACAATGAATATCTTTTTGTTCATTAATAAATTTAATTGTCTCTAATAATAATCATGAATAATGAATAATGGTTTGTTTATGAGGACATTTATCCCTTATCCTTGATTATTGATTTGTTAACTAACAAATCACCCAGTAATACAATATGTAAGTGAAATTCAACATCTACAAGTTATAATTTTCTAGTAACATTTATAATTTCTGAGCAGGTTAGCCTATGTGATTCTGTAATCTAGAGTTTATTTAGTTAAGATTTGAGGAACGGAATCCTTATAAATTACAATTTCGGTTACGTAATCTATTGTGGTAATTTTCTGAAATCATTTCAGACACCATTAACATATGTTTAGTGAAATGTACATTTTGCCGGTATATATATGGTTTAAACCAATGTCATGTGTAATTAGTCGACTGGTTGAACTCATTTCACATTAGATACATGAATAATATCTTTAGTTTCAACACGTACCATATATTTTTCTTAGCGAACACAACTATTTTACTTCTTAGATAGGAGGAATTCATCAATTAATCATTGAATATTAGTTTTATTCTAGTTGATACTAGTAAGTAAGATGTATCTGTAATCTTAACAGGAATGGAGCTTTCCATCGGATAAAAACTTATCATAGACAGAAATGGTCAATCAGCTACTCTTATCTTAAATTGTGTTCTTAAAAAACAACAACAACAACAACTGAATACTTACATTGTTTAAATAAGCGTATTCAGTGTTGATTTACTTTTTAATTACTCGCTAATGTTCTTTCAAATTATACTAAACTGAAATGTATAGGAATTATTATTTTTTTGGAAGATGTAAAAACCTTTACATATCTGGGTAGTAACATTGATGAACACGGTGGATCTGATTCAGATGTGAAGGTGTGGATCGGCAGCATATCTACAACCGAAGAACATCTGGAATTCGAAACAACTATCAACCAACACTAAGGTCAAAATTTTCAATGTAAATGTCAAAACAGTTCTACTGTGTGGGTCGAAAACTTGGAGAATTACGAAAGCCATCATCCAGAAGATACAAATGTTTATTAACAGTTGTTTACGCAAAATGCTTCGGATCCGTTGACCAGACACTATCAGCAACAACCTACTACGGGAGAAAACAAACCAGTTCCCAACGGAGGAAGAAATCAGGAAGAAGCGATGGAAGTGGATAGGACATACATTGAAGGAAGCACCCAACTGCGTCACGAGGCAGGTCCTCACATGGAATCCTCAAGGTCAAAGGAGATAAAGGAAGACCAAAGAACACATTACGTCGAGAAATGGAGACAGACATGAGAAATATGAACAATAATTGGACAGAACTGGAAAGGCCCAGGACAGAGTGGGTTGGAGAATGCTGGTCGGCGGCCTATGCTCCATTGGGAGTAACAGGCGTAGGTAAGTAAGAAATATATAATTAAAAAACTGAAGAAATTCTTTGCTTGTAATATGAACATTGTATGAATTTTAATAACTATTTAATGGTGAATTCCGTACTTACCTGAGGATTATCTGTACCAAGTATACGAGCTTGAAGTAGTTCAGCTGAAGATAATCCATTTGGATTAGAATTATGCTTTCTTGTATAATTAATTGGTCTGTTCTCTGATGTTGAATCATTACCAACTCCCGATACACGTTTATTACTGTTATTATGATTATTGGCACCATTTGATGAATAGGCATATGCACCATTGGTTGATACACCAGATCGACTGAGTGCACGTAATTCATTTAAACGTTGATTCAACACAGATCGTGTTCCAGCGAATGCATTACCTTTAAGCACTGAATGTGAATAGCCATGATGCTAAATAATTTTTTTTAAAAGAAAAGACATAAATGATTATTAGAAAACTTTTAGGACATGTATTTATTGTATTCTCTATGATATTGAATGGGAAATAAAAACCAAATATGAATTAGATCTTTTAGAGATAACTCTTCAAGTCAATCAGCCACCTAAAAACAAATCCTAATTTCAAATAATTAAGATATTCAGGGAGTGGTAGATGTTCAAAAAATATCGAAAACTGATTTAAGTTGAAATAGTATCATTGAACACAGACCCAACGATTCTAACGGTTGTGTTTATCATAAGATTTAAAAGTCATGAACACTATCGCGAGTGAAATTGTGGGTGCATACCGCCTAGGAATTCGAAATGAGTTCAGCCTATGGAGAATATAACCTACAAATTAAACTAGTCTTTACAAAACTTTTTCAACTAAACTATAATAATCACCCTACTAGTAATGTACTTGAAGATGTGCTTAAGGTTCAAGTGAGAACTCATTACTTGAAGAGTTTAGATATCAGGATTAAAGCTATATCATCCTTTTTTCTTATCTGCCTCAAATCATTTACATCTATGAATGATTTATAAAATAGGAGAATTGATTCACTACTTGTTTGTATTTATTTACAAATTAAGTCACAGATTTTTTCCAACTGTTGACATAGACAATATATAGCTTGTATTAGGTAACATGTTTACTTAGAAATGTAAATATTCACGACAACTAATCATATATGTCACTGGTTGATCTTGGTTAAACAACCATTGAAATCAGGATGCACTAGACAGGTATTTAATTCTAGTATGGGACTTGTCAGTAGTATGAACCCACAACTCCATTAGGTATCAAACCAATGACTTTCAAACTCCTAATGAGCACTTAACTACTAAGATGGTATCCAACAGTTTACATGTCTAACTTTAATCAATTCACGGTATTACTCAACCATCTTCCACTGCTTTTGGTACATATAGATATTTACTAATTAATATATCTAGAATGAAAGAAAACTTACATAACCTCAAATACTGATTGAATTACGTTGATTTATTATATCACTAACAGTACAGTTTTCTTCTTTTACTGTGATGTAATCTGATCAGATTACAATGTATCAAGAATATTTACACTATCCAAGTATTTATTAAAACTGATACACAAATGACAAAATTAGTACACTTTTTATGTATATATATGATATATTTTCTTCTAAATCGGTGTGTAATAAGAGTGCTGTGTGTGTATGTATGTGTGTGTGTACAGATGGATAGATGGTATAAGTAAAGTATGTTTGTAAATGAATTAATATAAATAAAAGGATAGTTACATGGGGTACTATATATGAGATGATAAGAACAACTTGTATAATCAATGAAACCTCTTTATTGATTCTGATGGAGATTACATTTCAGAATGTATCCATTTATTCTTTATAGTGTATAAGAGATATTTCATACACAAATTCATATATGTACACTAAGAATATTGTCAATATATGGATAGACATCCTAAAGTATAATCACGTATATATGCACTCACATTGAGATACCATTCTTTTTTAATGATAAACTTTAGTCATGATATCTTTAATGTCAATAATAATATACTTTCATATATTTGAATTTACTTTTTTTACCCCCCCCCCAACAAACACAAAAAGAAAATGAATCAATTAATTGCAATCTAATTATTGTTATAGAGTAGATTAATTATCTTTAAGTTATATACCTTAATATTACCGTGAATTTCTTTGTAACTTATTGGTCATATGAACACGCATAGACAAAGAGAGAGAGAGAGAGAGAGATTTAAAGACAGGGTTAAAGAAATTTGTGGAGATTGTTAAACATAACAGTTTTCATCATGGATTGACTTTTATTATACCATCCGTGTGAACAAAGCAACATTGAACAACTGTGGGATTACTGACTATTGAGTATCCATGATCATACCATAAATCGAACACAGGAACTTCTGGTCTCTCTGACATTCAATGGTTTAGATATTTAGCTTTAATGGTATTCAGTCATTCCCTAACTAAGGTTAGTTCATGATATAAACTATGAAATATTTAAAAATATTTCTATTACTTATCTATTACTGTCAAAGCGAAGTTGTATCGGAAAGAAAAAAGACAATGACAATTAACTGTACTTAAATACTTTGGTGTAAAGTGTTCTTAATATTCGAACGAGAGAGTTTGTAGAGATATTTAGATTTTAAGAACAATTTAATTTGTGGAAAGACTTTAGCAGCATTCCGGAGATCAATGAATAATAACTTCATTCTTGTACAAAATACCTTAGCAATGAACTCCTATGATCTCATCAGGGATCTGGTCAACATATCACCTTAAGAGTGACCTTCATGAATTCGACATCCTGTAGGGGGTAATGGGTAAGTACTATTGTGAGGGCTCATATGAAGACAAAAGAATTGTCCGAGTGTTTCTTAGTGTTTAAGGGCTACTAGGGCTAAAGTCAATCGGCAATATAATTTGTCTTCAAATTAAATTATCTCCAAAAAACTGTTCACCCTAAAAAAATTTCCATTAAAGAATTCTGTTCTTGACGTGTAAATTCAAAATAACACTTTAACCCAAATATTTCAGGCAGAATTAAGAAAATTATCATCTTAAGAGACCATTGAATTGGTCGAAAATAAACAGACTTTTGATATATATTGGGTACCATGTGATTCAGCCATAATTATAGGAGAGCGGTTGTATTACCTAGTTCGAGTATTGATTAATTTGCTCAGATTTCCTATTTAGTGAGACATTGATCATAAGATAACAATCAAGAATAATACTTAGTGGATCTTGGTTCAGAATGCAGTTCTCCTACACTCGCTCACTCACTCGATAGCCAGAATAGAACATAACACAGCAAGTACATAACTTCTAATTATCCAGTTCAAAATCATGACTTGACTAATACACAAATATCAAGTAAAATCTTGACTCCACACCTACAATAATTAAGAAATCACAGGATAAACACAACTACATCACAAGTGGAAGAGAACCAAGTTAGAAGTCTGTAGTAAATTAACAGTAACTTAAGTAAGATACAACATATAGCAAGAGTTTATGCACTATGAAAACAACATTCAAGTAAAGGAGTATAACAATACAATGATTTATATTGCAATAATATATAAACAATAGTGTTAGGCAGAAGTGTTGCTAAAATTCAGTTTTCTCTAATATTTACCCCGTTAATAACAAATGTTATTCAAAGGAAACAGTATACTTCTAAGATAACTATAATTTAGTAAAAGCAGGAATTTTTAAATTTCAATCTATCGGGTAAGCATGTCATGTAATAAATAAACATATATATTTGTAATATTCCAGTGAATAGAAAAAACGAGATCTTCTGACGTTTCGTGACCTAATGTGAGCCACTTCCTCAGAGAATCAAAATTAATTTTAATTTGGTTATTCATTCTCTGAAGAAGTAGTTTACATTGAGTCACGAAACGTCAGAAAATCTCTTTTTTTTCTACTCACTGGAATATTACAAATATATTAATTTTATTTATAACGATCTGCTCAATGCTCAATTTGTTCGAACTTAACGAGTCAAACCTTGATAATGATACCTAAATTTCATGTAATGTACACATATACACATAATGTAAACAAACAACTCCCAGTACTTGATAATCGTTTTTTATGAATCTTAATAACCAATCTATGATTTAAAGAAAAACAAAACGTCATCTTTTTGATGAAGTTTTGTTCTCTAAGCTAGATGATTCGATCATACATGAAGCTTTCATCATTCTCCTGAACTACATCATCAGCATCAACTTCAAGTGGACGTTTTTATCTTTCAATAATAAAACTTGAATCATTAAATAAATAGAATTATTTAATTTGACCTAAATTTTGACTAACATTATATTTTAATATAAAAAAATTTAATGAATTAATCAATCTGTATACATATTATGCATATATATGTGATGTACGTGTCTCTCTCTCTCTCTACATATATATGTGTGTGTCTATGTCTGTCTGTACAACATATGTCTCATTTTGTATGTCTATTCATCAATCTATCCATTTGTCTGTTTGTCTATCTATACATATTTATATATATTCATTTGGATTTATATAATAAATAATGAATTTTTATGTTATGAATAACGTTAATATTATTATTATTATTATTAAATCAGGGTAGTTGCCTATATTCTCCTATTTCTCTAAAGGAAATTAATGTTATTCTAACAATAATAATAATATTATTATTATTATAAAATGTAACCATATCAGGTGAGATACATCTGATATGGTTTTGATTAAAGAAATAAGTAAACAATTGTTAAACAACACAAAAAAATTATTGATTTTGGAAAAGGAACACATAATTAATTAAAATTACAATTACAAAAAATAAAATATTGTAATTTGGTAATTTGGTAAATGGATAGATACTGTTATGAGTATTAGAATTAGATCCAGTATTGATTTATAAGTTGATTTTACTGTAGCATTGTAAAATAAATAGGAATCAGTTAAATAATCTTGTGGTTAAATGATTTAAAAGGATAAATGTAGAAGTGCTACCCCTTAAATACCCTAGTACGCCTGAGAGTGGGGAGAGCCCACTCTCTCTCTCTCTCGAAATGTTCTCACAGGGTCATGTGTATATAGCCGTTGACAGGGAAGTCCTACCCACTGCCTTGTCGCGGCATGACTGTTGTTTACCAAATTGAGAGGACGAAAAGCCAATGTCCGGCGCTTTAACCGGGTTGGTGGATATAGATGATCTACCTAGGTGAGTTGGAAAACCCTCATTTCAAACCAATGGTGCACATGAGCTCCAGTATCCCGAAGGAACAAATGGCGTATGAGCACATTGTTGGTCACCGGCCACCATGGGACTGCATCTCCTGACGTTGTTCCACTGCATTGTGGATTAGACCTTTCGGTCAAAGGCTCGGGTTGTGGTCTCCTAAGAAAACCACCTGCTCCGGTTTGGGCACCTGGGTAGTATTTCAATCCTTACGATTTATGTGGTGGATATCTATTTGGTGCCTTCTTGTATTTATGTTTATGTATTTAAAGAAATAAACAGAAGAAAGTTGGTCTTGCTAAGGATCGATACCAAACTAGAAAAATATTCGAAGACCAGAGAGTACTAGATATTAATTCCTAGTCTGTGAGACTACTCAGTAATACATATCTATAATATTTCCAGAGATTAAATCTTGAGAAACTTCAGACCTTACAGTAACCAAATTCAACCATGAAGGTACTCAGATAATTGGTCACCAAGTTAGGTACTTAAGAAAACTAGTAAACATAGTGTTTCCGTAGTTGTTTGTATGATATCAAATTTCCTGAACTAATAATGAGATCCTGTTACCTGTAAATAACTGTTTACCTACATCACAACCTGATTGAAATACAACATTATGGCTATTAAAAATCGGATGAGTAATTCAATGTTATCCTATTGTATTGCAAACAAATAGATCCTAGTTTAGAATCTCGTGCAATATTACAAGTGACTTTTTTTATCGAATAATTTTAGTTCGAAATGAAAACGATAACTTCTGTTCATAGGACATCAGAAGTACCCTAATCCATCAAATAAATACATGAACTGGAGTAGATAAAACAAAATTCACGGTATCGCTTTTCAAAATATTTCTAATTTTTCTGTAATACATTTGTCTTATCCATGTTTCCACTGTTTAGAATATCTCTAGAAGTTCTTAGAAGTCCAATACTTTGTTTGTCTATTAATTTATAGAATTATATGATTAAATACTTTTCCCAAATTTAATTCATTAGTTCTAGTGAGAAGTAGTGACAAGTGGAGTTCAACCAGGTCTGTTGTGAGATAGTAACTCACTGAAGACAATGGTGGATGTGTCGCTCAATTTCGTGGAGTAGTTGAAGTTAGGCATTAATACCGTTGGATGCCAACCGGCTAGGTGGTCTAGTGGTTAATTTCTCGCTCGCGAAACCAGTAGGTCCTGGGTTGGAATCTCGCAGGGGCGAGGTCGTGGATGTGGAGTCCCACGATAGGATGAAACGGCCGTCCAGTGCTTCCAGGTTTTCCATAGTGGTCTAGCTTCAACTGCCTCATGATCTTAACCATTGAAATTACTATAATATCCACAAAACCCATCTGATATTAAATTACCTATATGTTAGATTATTAATTAGGCAATACAATTAATTACATGCTTATGATAATTTTTATGAGCAAATAAAGATGATGGACGTCCGGACCTTAGAATATCAAATTTGTGACTATGATAATTAATTCAACTAAGGAAAGCTATACTCTTCAATGAGCATATTATCTCCTTCAGTATATCATAATGAATTCTACCGAAGGATTCTTCTCAAATTTTATCATGAATTCAATGCATTAAACTTCATATTATTATTAGACAGATTATGGGAAGTTGAATAACGTGTTACCATGTAAACTGATGAAAATCACTAATTACAAATAATTTATTTCACTTACTTTTAAATGTCTTTCTAGTGAATGTACAAATGCTTTCAATGATTCCGGTTCATATTCGTGTCCATCTTTCTTTTTCGCGGTAAGTACAAAGTCCTGTAATGTAATATGAATAAACTTAAGAAGTAATTGAATATAATAATTGTATTAGTTGTCAAGTAGAATTTATGTTTGAAAAATAACCTATGAGGATTATAGTATTCTACCTTACGTATCTGTAAACGATCAAATAACTTGATATATCGAGTAAAAGATTCACATAAGTATAAAATCAGTATAGACATTATTAATTGATATGAAGTAATCAACAAGAAGCTCCGAATTTAATTTGCATGTTAGTGGGGATTCCCTATCAGCTTGGTAGGGACGTCTCAGGTTGTGGATTTGTCTAATGCAAGCTTAAATCCCTCAAGGAGTGTCATTTCCCTCAAGTAAAACTTGCTGACAAGTCCCAACCATCATTAAACCTTGGTGAATCAAGATTTTCTATTGACTAGCTCCAACTATTTAATATCAGAATGTGATCCACACAACGATGAGTTACATATTAATGTTTACTTTATAAATTGATCGGCAGAATTTAGTTAACACCAAATAGTAGACAAATAAGACAGTGGCCAGTACTCAGTGATCAGTCACTGTGAATATGGCTGTTAGAAGTAAATATTGTTGTTGTATCCAAAGATTAAATGAATGGTAACTTTCGGGAAGTATTTATAGACTGTCATTATATATATTCTTATTGCATAAATATAAAGTAAATAGATTATGGATATATGTTTATATTTCTTTTACCATAAGCTTTTATTCGTTCTATTAGCTAGTATTATACGATTTACTATTCTTAATTTATTCCCAATCTATTAGTTACAGTCTTCCATTCAGCCACTTTGGTTTGGTCTTGTATAACTTTTATTTCTTACTTTGTGGTGTGATGCTGTCTGAAATATATTGTTAATACCGTGGAAGCGGCTACTGTGTTCTGGACTCAAAGGGCAAAACTAGGAGAGAAGCTATTAAATCAAGGACCAATAAGGATTCAGAGTTGGCTCAAGGTTGCTAGTGATGGTTGACGCGACACTGGCTTAGCACAGGAACAAGGTTATAGGATTCGATATTCTGACTGGCGATTTTGTCACATGATAACTAACAGATGCACTAGTCATGACAGTTTATCTTTGAAAAGAATTTTCATTTATTGAAACGATTATGTATGTATAACAGATTATTTAACCACTAACTTTTTGAGCACTCAAAGTTGTCTAGTGTTAAATGCAAACTGGATGTAATCAAACCAATACATAACAGTTGTTCACGAAGTCATTAATTGTTGAAGTGAATCATGTATGAGAATATGTAAACTATGTGGTTAGGGGCTGAAGGAGTTAAGTGGTACAGGTTGAGAAGCCATTTACTTAATTTCTTCTCTTGGATGATTTTGAACCATAATCTTTCTGTTTAGTCTTTTACAATCGCAGATAAACAGATTACTTTAACTTTTTCAATGTTCACCCTGTTAATTTCTGATTGTTATGTTGTTGAAGTATGATAACTTGAGCCAATGAACTTTGTATTAATACAATTTTAATGCGATCATTCAAGTTTAAAATAGTTTATAGGTAAGACTATAATGTATAGACGACCTTCATACGACGCCAATAGTGACCTTAACAATGTCCCTCTACTTACTAGAGCTAAATGAAGGTAATGAAGCAGTTTGAAGAATAAGGACTATGTTTTACAATCGATGGTTAGGGTTAGGAATTAGACTTATGGTTTTCATCACGAACTGATACCAACTAAAATACCAAAAGGCTATTTAGACAAATGAGTGAATGAATTTCGCATCAAAATCCAAGATCTCTTTTCTTAACTCTGATTAGGTCGTCCCTAGTTTATATTATCCAACTTTGATCCTATATATATATTATGTTATAAAATGATAATTTAATCAATATTATTAATGAATTATTGTAAGACACTTATTCCAACCGACTTTCACTTTACTTAAAGCTAATTTCCCAATGAAATAGTTATATTCAATCATTCATCCTTTTGAATAGCTTCTTTACAATGAATATTAAGTCATGATGAGAATCTGATGAAATCATCCTTAAATTACCTAATTCAATATTATAATCCATATATCTTATCAAATATATAAATATTAAATAATTAAAAAAAATAATACAGGTAAATAAATACTACTAATAATAGCTTTTTACCTATATGACCTCAGACAATAATAACTTAACAGCCTTGTTTATCTGTTGTTGTTGTTGTTCAATGTATAATAATGTTCAATACTAATTAATGATAAAATAAACAAAAATATTAGAATATTCATTTATTCCAATCATACTTTTTTCTCTCTCAACTTGAATCAAATCTAATTACTTATTAACTGATCGAAATACGAACTTATAATAATAGTAACAGTAACAATAATAGTAATAATAGTAATAGTAATGGTAATAATAATAGTAATAATAATAGTGATGGTAATAGTAATGATATTAGCAATAGTAATAATAATGGTAGTAATAATAACAATAATAGTGATGGTATGAAAAATCAAATGGATATATGTATATGAATAGCTGAACACTTCTTCATGTATATACATAGGCAATACAGATGTGTTGTATCCATGTGCGCATGTAAATGACTGAAGATGATTGAATTTGAAAAAAAAAATTACAGTGACCGCTAAAAAAATATTATTATTGTTATCATTATTATTATTATTATTATTATTATTATTATTATTATTATTATTATTATTATTATTATTATTATTATTATTATTATTATTATTAATATCAATATCCTGTATCCAACGGAATAGCATATGATTTCATGTTTACACTTTTCTATCTCAGGTACACTTTATGAATAAAAGAATAGAGTATATATATAACTTAAGTTTTCACCTAATTAAATTAATTCTAAATAGTTTAGTAAGTTTAAGGATGTAAAAAAAATAATAATAATTTGTAGTTTATTTTGTGGTTTATTCAAGTAATGATTGAGAAATTAACTATCATCATTTATTAATAACTGTACAATTAAACACGAACAGTATGTATATAGAGAGAGTCGAGGGTTGACAGATGGTTAAATCTTGAACATCTGAACCGATAGAAATGGATTAATACTAAGAACTAAGTAAACATGATGTTGATTACTACTCTGAATAATCAATCTAAATTTTCGGTATGGAGTTGTGAAGATTGTGAATATCAACATTGGAATGTATGTATATCCAGCTGATGAGTCCGAAGTGGGACGAAACGTTTGCTCTGAATTCCACTGTTAGTCACTATTCATCTTTGTTTATAAAGCTCATGACTTAAGGTAATATTGAAGCAATCTGCACAGGATGCACATGTGCCAACAAGAGACTGATCAATTACAGTTCTAATTAACAGTGGGAAGATACAAGCAAACAATACCAAGTGAATTGTTGAATTTCATTTAAATTATGAAACGATCTAAGTTAGACCATTATTAAAAACCTGGAAGCTTTGGTCTTAGGTTTGATTCCTAGGTCCAGGATCGTGGATAGGCACTGCTGAAGAGTCTCGTACTAAAACAAAATGGTCATATAGTGCTTCCAGGTTCTCAATGGTGGTCTATCTTAGGCCAGTTCATAAGTTCTGCGAAAATTAATGTTACTATCTCATTCTTATAACAGATTGATTTCGGCGCGAGGAGATCAATGTTAACATTTCAGGATGTGATACTGAGTGAGCTGGGCTCAAATCCATCAGGAAACACCAACTCACTCAAGATTGCATGTACTAGTTGCTGAAATGGCCCAACTAGGATGAAATCTAAGATGAATATTTTCTGCCAACTACCTTTAACCACCTAACTTTAAAACCTGTGGATTGGACAGTCATTAAAAATAATGAAGTTTTACGAGTAATAACTTGATACCTAACTTTCTATTCATGTTCTGAATTATTTCTTTCGGCTTTTTAGGCACTAATTTATAGTACTGACTTATATTTAATCATATGTTTATGCATTAATTGATCGTTGAGTAGTAACTCATGATATGTTTATCTAGTTCTTAGTCGTGATCGAATTCTAACTGCTAAATTGAAATGTGATGGTTAATTAAACTGACACAACTTCATGTGTATTGTGTCTTAATCCTAGGTGGTTTGATAAATCAGGTAGCAAACCCTGTATGAATCGAAATTTCGTCTGTACCTATGAAGGGACTGATGCTTTCTGAGGGTTTTGAGCCCAAGTTATGCAACTTCTCAATCTGAGATGTTACCACTGAGCTGTTCAGGCTGTGAATAACCATGTGTAAGACAAAAATGTCCATACTGATTAATTATTGAGTACTAATTTTGTTTGTCTATGATATTGTCTATGACAGTTGGGGATGCGGAGTTGTGCCTGCACACACGGAATAATATCATTACTCAACAGTGTACAAAAATTAAACCAAATCATGGAACTAAACAAACTTAAGTTTCTTCATGAAATGAATGCTTTTCCATTAAAACATTTCAATCTACTTCCCATAACTTAACAATTATTGAAATAGATTACGTCAGAGTATTGGTTATCCTTTATTAATTGTTGATGTAAAGAATTTCCAACTACTAATGTAGATTCTCAAGTAATATGTATATACGGTTTGTCATTTTCAGCATGTACTTTCGTTAACCGAAACACCCTAGTATAACTAGGGTACTGTATCTTTCTAGCAAGTAAACGAGCAGGTTTTAATTAGATTCCTTAAAATTCTAATGATAATCTATGACCTGTGTTGTTAACGAAGTCAGGTGCATTATATAGTATTATAGTGGACGCTAATCTTAAGGATATTTTTAAGTAGTGTGTGGAGGAGTGTGGCGTTGAAATTGCAACAATTGTCAGACGGAGTGAAGAATTTTAGCAAATCAAAAGCACGGTGCTGACATAATACGTGGAGACCGAATGAGAAGACAATTCAGACTGTAAAACACATTGAAGTATGCAAATGGACGATTGAAGGCTATGTATATGTATTACATAAATACTATGTAACTGTATACATTCTTCCTACCTATTGCCCTGTTTTGTAGCATCTCACCAGTAAAACTGAGTAAATATCACATTGTGTTCTATGTCCAATGTAGATGTCTCATATATTTTCATTCAATAACTAAACAATATCTTGTTTGGAAGTGTATGTTTTGTATATCAGTGATGAAATTAAGAAACTGGGATAAGTCTCACCAAATTTACCTTACGCTAAAATTTCTGACAAATTGGGAAAGTAATTTGCAACTTCAGTCAATGCTACATAAATATCCAGGAACCACTAAGATTCTCATAGGTACATATCCACACAGGATCGAACCCAGATCTTTTCAAGTTTTACAGATAGTCCTTTTAAATAATTAAACCACTGAGTCGGCACTTCAACTTTAATCTCTTATCTCCATAACCACACCATATTGATAGAAAATTTTTTTATTAATTAAACCTACTTGTATATAACTGTCTAATTCATGACAAGGTATTTGATGAATTTCTCGTGTATCATGTTTAATTTGTATTAAATATCTATGTATTACTTTCATATCAGAACGTGTTTTTCTCAATGTATTATGTACAGCACCATTAATATGTATTGTACTACTAGTAGAAGTAGTAGTAGTAGTAGTAGTAGTAGTATTAGTAGTTGAATGTGCTTGTTGTTGTTGTTGTTCCGGTGTAGTACATGGTAAATTTTGATCATATAATTCATTCGACACACTACTACATGTACTATTATTAACATTACAATTCATTGTATTATTTACATGATGTTGAATTGGACTATGATCAATATGATCATTTGAATGATGAATAAGATTTTCCGATTCCAATGGAGTTAACTTGTCAATAGTTTCTTGTTCATTGTTCAATTTATTATTATTATATTCAAATGAACATGTTTGTGGAGTATGATAGAAAGTTGAACAAACTGGTATAGTATTAACATTCCAATGATTATCATTTTTATTGATTGTTGTTATATTATTAGTATTAGTAATAGTTGTAGAAAGATTAATACTTGTATTATTATCATTATTATTTGATATAGTTAATTCAATCTGTGGTGATGATGTAACTATTCGATTGTTGCTATGACTATTGAAATGTTCAATGTTTAATTTTAACTTGTTTCTTGTTGATGAACCATTCATGTCATTGATCTCTGGTATTCGATTAGTAAAAGGAGTATTATTATTATTGCTATTATCATTAGTAGTAGTATTGGTGGTAATATTATTATTATTAAATAATGTTTGATTTTTCTCTAATAACTGAATTGTATGCTTAGCATACTTTTGCAATAACTCGTTATTGTTTAATTCATTATACGAAGATTTTAATAATGATGATGATGAGGAGGAGGAGGAAATAGGATCAAAACTAGAAACTGAGGAAGGAGGCCATAACATTGGGAAATGTGGAAATAAATTGAGTAGTTTCCAAAAGTTGTTATTATTTTCATCTAAAAATAAAGAATGAAAATGTAAAAAGTCATGTTATTTCTATCATATGAAACTGTATTCAATGTTATGATATTCAATTTTATCAGTATGGGGTTGTGGAGATTTTGATTGAGATCATGAACCGATTGATATTAGATCACCGGTGAAAACCTGGAAGCATTGGATGGCCGTTTCGCCATAAGGTTCTACTCAGCAGTGCGCATCCACGATCCCGTCCTTGGGATTCAAACCCAGGGTCTTTGGTCTCGCGCACGAACGCTTAACCTACCTGACCACTGAGTCGGCATCCAAATGTGTTAATATCTAACCTCCATTTTAATTTGGAAAATGTTCAAAAATATCAAGGAAACACTAAGATGACTTGTTTATCTTGGTATTGGGTCAATGATTTGTGTGTATACTCATCACATTAATCAAAGATTGAATTTAAAACTATAAGGTTTCATGAAATAATGTATTGTCATTATGTAATACCTCTAAAAACTGTAGGCTTGTATACACGGCTCTGAGCTGAACTTAAGGTGTATGAGGACTGGTAAAAGCTTCATAAGTTGAAGTAAGTAAGGTTTCAAGCCTGCTATCTATCATCTAAAAGCTAAGTACTTTAATCACTAATCCATAGTACATTGAGTCAGGATCTACTGGATCAGCATCTACAATTCATAATAATTCACGATTATTATTTAGTATTATTATTGATGATGCCTGTGATACTCCAGGTATGGTACCTTTTACACTGATTGTGTTCAATCATGTTGTGAATGAGAGTCCTCATCACAAGTACAATAAAATTTATAGCTAGACATAGAATCACTCTTTAAAATGTCCAATGAAACCCACTAACTAAACGGGAAAAAATGATTGAAAATACTGATTATAACACATATGATGAATGTTACGAATAATCTCAGCCTAATAAACCCATCTATAAACTATTTTCTTAAAACTTAGAACTATATTAAGCAATAAACTAATCTAATGACTACTTCATATAACTTAATGAGTAATAGCACTAATATACTTCAACTAGTGAACACACATATATTGGGTAATCATCATGTATTTTAAAATAATAAATCAGAACAGAAACTCCATGTTTTCGAAAAACTCAATACTTTATAAATGTATATGGGTAATTAATTCTTCTGGTTACTTTGAACATGATTAAGCAAGTTACCGTTATAATAGTGTTACTTATTAGTAGTATTCCATAATTTAGAAAACAACTTTGTAACATTAACGTTAATGATAATGTCAAAACCTGAATTGCTAAATATTGCATTTATCTAATTGTGAATATATATATATATATATATATATATATATATATCAGATATGATAATTGTAGATAAATTTATTATTTTGCACCGATAATTCAGTGAGGGAGGGAGAGAGAGAGAGAACATACTAAAACCAGTAACGTTTATTTCACGAAAAGTGTGTACTTTCTCCCTCTCCCTCTCCCTCCATCTCTCTCTCTCTTTCTCTCTCTCTCTCTCTATATATATATATATATATATATATATATATATATAATTACGAATGTTTAGTATATCGCTAATACGAATCTGGATTTGCACGAAATTGCTAGGGTAACCGACTGACACATAATAATTCACGAATTATCCCTCAACGTGGTGGAAGCCAAGTAGAAACCAGTAAACCAGAGAAATCTTTTTATTCAAGAAGACTGAATTATAATCGAATAACTATGTGATCATAGCAACCAACAATAATCTTGGAACCAATAATACAATCATCAAACTTAAAGTGTAAACAACTAATCAAATAGCAACAAAGACTATTGAGGAATCATCATCAGTATCATCGTCGCTGTCTCAACATACGCATGGAAGCTATCATTTTTGGATCAAAAATTGTACATAACCTGGAATCTTACTGATATATGTGTCGATAGGGCAAAATGAGTCATTATTAAAAAAAAGACTAATTTATACCTAACTCATTGGTTTCATATGAAGTTAAGATTTAGATATTTTGATTGCGACGTTTGTATAGGCTATTAGATGTCATTTTACTAGTCTGATGACCTATTACTGGACCTTGAAACCTGAGGGTCATTGATTTAATCCTTGGTTGTGGGTCACAAAGAGACAGGGTTAAGGAATCCCACTAATTTGAACGACATAATTACCGAACACAGTTTTGGTTCATTCCATGATACTATGATACATGCCAATACTGTAAGTTTAACAATTTTCATCAGTACTTAAATCATTAATTTGATCTAGTCATTTACAAACCATGAGGTTTTTAAATTGATATAGATCTATGTTCGATTTATTTTTTGACAATAAACTGGTGTAATGAAAGGGGAAATAAGTCAGTCTCTAACTAGAGAGTTTAATAATATGTCATTTACAGTTGTTGTAATCACTACTAATATTATTATTAATACTAAGTGAATGAGTTAAATCATGTATGTCATTTGTTCATCATGATTTGTATGATAATTTATTTTTTTGATTGAGATCATGAACCGATTGATGTTAAACCACCATTGACACCAGTACAATGAAAGTTGATCGAACAAATTTGTGGATTGGTTGAGGTTAGACATTAACACTGTTGGATACCGACTCAGTGGTCAGGTAGGTTAAGCGTTTGCGTGCACGACCAAGGGCCCTAGGTTCGAATCCCGTGAGCGGGACCGTAAATGCCTACTGCTGAAGAGTCCCACATTAGGACGAAATGGTCGTCCAATGCTCCCAGATTTTCAATGGTGATCTAATATCAATCGGTTCATGATCTCAATCAAAAACTTGATAATTTACTTTTTAGTTAAACGATTTCATGTTTAATATTACTGAATCATTTTATTAATGATGTAATTTCTAAAATATAAGGATTATATACTGAACTTTGCGATATAATTTTCATATATTTAATGTTTATACTACTTAAATTTACTACTTAATGGTTGAAAGCTGAACATTTGTATTACATTAGCTCATGAAGTGATTGATTATTGAACTGAACAATATTTGCAAATGTAGATCACTTCGTTTTAATTCGTGCGATAACTATGTTTGATAGTTGAAGACTTTGTGTATAATGGCATAAAATCAGTCACAATTGAGTAGATCCATTCATTCTTTATGTTACTTTAATTCTTACGTTCTAGGGCTCCTGAAAATGTTGTTTTCCACGCTTTTTTTAAACTATATTACTAATGTTTAGCTATCCCCTTTATTATTGGTAATACTGGTGTCGACAGATATAAATAGTATATATCACCAATGGAATATGGAATGCCTGAAGGTAGAAGGTTAAGAAAATCAAAGAGAAGAAAACAAGAACATATAGAGAGTGATTAATATGGAAATGAAGGAATAATCAAGTCTGAAACAATTGATTAACATTTTGCAAATGAACTATTTACTTCACAATTCTCAAATATTATCAAAATATTCTATAATGTTGTCTTCGCTGACATTCTCGTTCAGTGCACTATGATTATTTGAACTCTCCTACTATTTCACTACATTCATTTCATATCTTCATATATATATATATATAAGCAAAATGTAACACATAAGCTCGAACCCAACTTCTTGAAGTTTATACTTTCCGTATTTTGCTTATTCAGATAACATTTTAGATCAAAATAGAAAAACTACTTAAAACTTTAATCATATAATTTGGTCATTTTAACTAAACTAATAATCTCATATTATCTTTCTTTAGTATTATTATTATTAGAATTAGAATTAGAATTGAAATGAATGTAACAAGCTGTAACAGTGGTCATTGTTATTAAATTATTGGCAACAATACTCTATAAGAATTGATTGATAGAATAAGTTGAATAACAGTGGGGTTTTTTTGTTTCTCTTTACTTTCTATTAAAAACAAAAATGGAATAATATGTATATGTTCCTTTAGAAGAAAAATATATTTTTTCTTAATGTGTAATATATTAATTTTTCATGAAACACTCCATCAGTATCCGGAAACTGGTATCACTCTAACCCACATTAACAAGAGCATATATATATCCCTTGGATTTATTAACCTTATATTTTTATAAAAGATAGATAGATAAATAGGTGAGGTGGATGGATATGGATGGTGATGATTGGATTATAAGCTGAAAGTCCAATCTTCTTTATTTACTAATCATCACTAAATTAAGATTTTTTTTACAACCAAAAAATATTGTCTGTTTAATTCATTACTATTACTATTAGTAGTGTAGTAGTAACGGTAGTGTTAGTATTATTATTATTAACTGACATAAAGTATTAGTTTTAAGGAGAAAACCCTTATAAACCTTATCGTTTCATTCATTCTCATTAGGGATATATATTTACATATATACAAATATTAACTAGAGGACAGGTTATCAATATTAACAATATCACTAATAGTAATAATAATAATAATGAGTAACCCTGTAATACCATAAATGATAAAAAGCATATATAACCACATATACACATATGCGTGTGTATGTATCTTTGTTTGAGTAAGTGAAATCACAGAGGAAGGATACGAGAAGAAAAGTATAAATAATACGAATAACTTTGGGGGCATATACTACTATTATAATACTAAGACATTGATAATGATAAAAGTAAGGGTGGTAATCATTAATTTGTTTTACTAAAATAGTATATATATATATATATATATGTATATATTTTTAATACATTCCCTATCGCCTACTTTTTTTATTCATAATAATAATAATAATATTCTTCCTACACATTACATATGTATCGCACTATGGTCTTGCATTAGATACCTTTCTTATTCGTCTTGATTGTTTAGTTAAGTGCTTATACATAAAATTTCACAACTATACACATTGCTAAACATAGATAGAAAAGTATTCTTTTGGACACTTATATACTACTAATACCCTCGTTAGTAATAGCAGTAGTGCTAGTAGTAGAAATAGCAAAGATAGTACGTATTTAAGTAAATTCAAGATATCATTTTAAAAGAAGTGAACAAACAAACAACTTCACGTTCT